TTGCAGGCTCAGTTTACTGTAATAAACTGGTCAAAATGGCACATATGTAATCACATTTTATGATTCAATTACATTTTACTTAATCGAGTTTCATATTACCCAGTTTTAGAACAATACAGCATAAAAAGAAAGGGAAATCTTAATTGTGAGGGTTAACATTTCCAGAGGCAGTTAACCGAAAATCAAAAGGTGAACGGCAGGAGCGGCTTTCTCTCTGTGCAATTTCCATGTTTTACTCGAACTTCAAATAGCTGCAGGCAAGTTTTGATATCACATCATCATTGTTTATCGAAGAAAAACTGTGGGGAACAATTTCTCCCAGTGAAGAGTGACTGCAGTCTGACATCCTGAGAGCTTTTTATTTAACTTCACTAATAACATGGACAAAGAAGATGTATAATTTAAATTAGACAGAGAAATAAAAAGTGTATTTATGAAGAAATTAAATATATTCACAGAGAAATGTAAACCTACAGTATAATGGTTCAGAACTTTGCTTCAGAGCCCTTGTCATTGCTAGAAGGAAATAATCCAAGACAAGCGCAGCTGCAGATGAGGTTCAGTCTCCCAAGATGAGGCTGTACCTTTCTGTGGAACCCCCACATCATTTTATTTAGACCAAAAGTCAGGGCTGGTGGTTAAACGGGGCTGGGCTGCCCTTATGTTTCCAGTGTGTATGTGAATGTGTGGCTGCATTTAGGCAGCACATGCATTTAGGGATGTGGCAGATGTTGCAGAGGCATGGATTAGTATGTGTGTGTTTTTAAGCGTGTGTTTAAAATATCTTTGCCACAGTGGGAAGCCATGGCAGCCAATTACAGTGCAGCATCTGGGCTAACACACATTTATTAGGGTGTGTGTTTAAGTGTGTGTAAAATGGTGAGGACCATTTTTGTTACTTTACCAGCAAAGTGAGGTCAAGTTTTTGTAATACTCACAAGCTATTTTGCCATTGGTTTGGTTTAGGGTTATGTATGCAGTGGTAATATTTAGGTTTACAGTTATTGTCAATGTTATGGCATAAAAAGAGTCAAAAATGAATGAAAATAAATGGGAGTCAACACATGGTCCTCAGTACATATAGCAAGAAGCATGTGTGAGGAGGTTGAGTTCAGGTTACTCTCACCTTAGCATGTAGAGTTTGAGTTAAGGCTGAAGCATGAGGCTTTGTGTTACACAGCAGAATCTAAGTGGACACACCATGAAGACACATTAGGACTGGCAACAATTACAGGAAGCTAAAAGTGGGTTCCTATGAAAAGGCAATGAAGACAATAGTGAGAATGGGGAAAGGGAGTCTGAAGAAGGGAGTATGTGAAAAGAAACCTGAATAAAAGCTATTGTTTCCTGGAGTGATTTCATATATCCCTCACTTCCCCTTCCTACATTCTTAAGTACAGGATTTAAAGAATTTTTTTTTTCAGTTTAAAACACTTAAAGAACAGCTATTTTCAGATTTTTGTTCATGTAGTCTGACACCATGATCCTTTAAAGGGCACATGTTGTGATATCAAACCAGGTTATAAATCAGTAGCCTTAAACAAAATAAAAAAATGGGTAAATGATAAAAACAAAATGTATTCCTTTTAAAAAATCCCAAAAAACGTAAGTAGGCTTTTTTCACTCAGTGACCTACCATGCTGTCTGCTATTCAGCTAAACAGGGCCTGTCATAATTATTTAAAATCTTAGAGCAGCAACATCACAAATGAACACTTTCTACCTCAGTTCCTCTTCAAGCTCTATATAATATGATGGGCAATATGTGAGGCCAAGGTGGCGGGCAATAAGGCTCTATAAAAGAGAAAAACTATTAATAACCTGTACACCTCAAAGACTCCTGGTATTTCATGGTTTAAAGGGAAAAATCCAATTCTACTTGGAATGCTTAGATGAAAACCAAGCTTTGTTTTAATTACTTTTTAGTAATGCCAGAAATAAGCTGCTGTAGGAGGTGCAAGGCCACTGATGAGCAGTGAAAGCTGCTCTATTGTTATTAATTATGATAGTCACAAAGGAGCAAGCTGGCCTCCTATAGACATAAAATGGTTCACCAATCAAATATAAACTGCTGACATTCATTGTAATACATTTTCCCCCATTTGCTGCATGTGGTATATGCAAGCTTTAGTGTCCTTAAAAAGTATTTAAAATAAATCAAAATAACATGCACCGACATAACTTTATGTGGATTTTATATAGTAGACCAACATCATTTTGAAGCGGACTGAATAAAATATGTGCTTTGCAACATGTTTGAGTTGGTCTAATGTTTTTTTTTAACAAACCCAGTGGCCTTCATAGAACAGATTTATTCAAACGGAAAATCATTCCAAAAAGATAGACCCTATTTATTTATTAGTTCAAAATACACAGGTCTGTGCCTGCAGGGCAATTCAGAACTTTATTAGAAAAAGGGGTTTGAAAACTTTATAAATACCCTTCTTCTTCCTACTTCATGTTCATTGATTATGTAAATTCACCATAAAAACAACAATGTTTCTGTTTGTAACAAAGCAGCAGGAAAGCTTACAACACTGAATGTGTTTTAAACAAATGCTGTAGAACTACTAATTAAAATTATGTCAAGAATGCTTAAGTATTCCTCCTATGTTTTGGCTTTATATGGTAAGATTAGAAAATCTGCTCCGATGTTTCATTAACATCAGAGGAGGAAGAGTAATGAAGACTATAGACTGCTGCAGTGGATATATTGCTGTAGAATGCAGAAAACGCCCAGCAGGGAAGAATCAGTCTGTCAGCAGCAGAAGATAAAGCATATGGAGTCAGATAATGTTTGGTCCAAGCATTGACTGCTGCTGAAAAACCCAAAGCACCTTTGTCTGAATGACTATTGGTTTGCATAATCTTATTGGCTTCCCTTAAATTTGAGTCACTTGCATTCCAATCAGTGTGCCTGTATGGGAAACTATTGCCAAAGCCAAAAACAAGGCAGTTGTTGAAAAAGGAACAATATAAAAATAATACAAGCACTCATGCATTTCAGAAGTATTTAAAGTTCGGTTATTGAAGTTTCTTCATCAATGTTACAAAAGCCCAAAGTAAAAACACCTCCATAGAGAAACCTGGGAAAGAAATCTCTTTTACCTTGTGTATCTCAAAACAAATATGACAAAATTAATAAATAAAACATTGAAAACAATCAACACTCCCACCTTGAAGACAATTAAGCAGAGTTGAATAGTTACATCCTTGGCTTCAACCTTGTATCTTTTGTCTGCTGTTTTCTCTTACAGATGTTTTGCTGCTGTCCATGTGTAAATACTGCCCCCATGTGGCAAAAGCCAGTCATTGTTTTCAACACTGCAGTGCACCAACGTTTTGTTTGAGAGATCCTTGCAAATCAGGTTAGTGCCTGGGCACTGTGTATCACCAAAGAGATGTGTTTTTATTGGTCATTTTTTAAAACATGTAAAAACATTTTATATTTGATTAAATAAAATTTAGATACATGTATAGCTTAAACAATTATTTGGATGAATCATGATTAGTCGATTATTGAAACAATTGTCAACTAATTGAGTAATTGATTAATTGTTATCTGGAGTATATAGACTCTAAAACATGACTTTAGCTGACAGAGCAACAATAATTATAAAAAAGTAAATAAATATTTTACCTCTGAGATCAAGAAAACTTTTCCGCCTGTCAATATACTCTATCCAGAACTCCTCAAGTGGAAAAGTTTTAGTTTCACCTCCTTTAATTTTGTAAAAAATATTATTTAACAAACTGTTGGCTATCCGATTATTAATCGATCAATCGAAAAAAATAATTGACAGATTAATCGATTTGCAAACTAATTGTTAGTTGGAGCCCCACATAAATAATGAGGTTCGTATTAAATGAGTGAACTGAGCGGGAGTCCAATGCAAAGATTAATAGACCAGCATAAACACCACTCAGTTTTTAAGATTTAAAGTTTTGCAATTATAATCTTTTGAAAATAGAAAACAAATCACTAAACCTAAACAAACCTCAATGTGTAGAGATAAAATAAATAGGAGGATTTGTTCAAAAGCCTTTGTAAATGTTAGCAACCTAATGGATCTTATAATTTAGTGCTGAAAGCATATCCCTAGAAAACATTAGATTTTTTTTTTTGGTTTATTCTGAAAAGAACAATAATACATTTCAGTTTTCCATAAGAAAAGCAGTTGGATCATTTGGAAATTTCAAAGTAGGTAGAATGCAAAACAGAATATTCATTCATGTTCATATTTTGGTGCATTATCAGTCCAAGCTTAGCTTTTTACCTCTATGCTACTTTTTACTCTTTGACACTTATTCCTGCAAAGGCTTTTCAGAGATTCCATAATATATAAGATTTGATTAAAAATATGATTGAGTTGTAGCACGATGTCATGTAAAACATAAGGTAAGATCTACATGTTTCACTTCTTTAAGAAAAGCTAGGTTAAAAGTGCAAGAATCAAGCTAAAAAAACACATAAAAGAAATAAGATGAGATGATAAGATTTTATTTCAGAAATACATTCCTCTTTATTTCCATGTTAAAGTGAAACTAGTTGAGTCAACCTCTTTGCAACCTAATAATTATTTAGAAATTCTGGAAATAAAAGCTACAGTTCTTTATATTTACAATGTTGTTATTATTCATTACAGGGAAATGCTCCATATAGCTAACTTTGCTTTTCTTCCTTATCATTGACTACACCACATGCACGTGTGTAAACTGGTCATCCCTTCCTGCTTGTTGCTTCTGTGGTATGTGTTGTTATACCGAACCATTCTGATCAAAGTGTCTACCTTTTACAAAGGGAAACAAGGTGACAATAACCTTCCTTCATAAGACAGTTGGAAAAGGTTTGTTTCATAGTAAGAGCTGAACTGTAAAATGCCTTTTATCTGTGCCTGGTGTGCTTTAATCTGGATGCATCCCATGCATGTAGATTTGTAGCTTTTATATTTGATGTATAGAGTAAAAAGTTAATTTGTGTTCCTTTTTTTTCATGGATGGGTGTCCTTGCTAAATTCCAGGACAGGAAAGGCACTTCCTGTGCCGCACCAGCGCTCTTTGGGGAAAGCTCACAGTCCCTCTGTGTCCCTGCATCATGGACAGGACAGCTGTGGTGATGAACTCCAGGGATTCCTCTCTGCCACAGTTCAACACCTCCACATCCACCTTGGCCTTTGACCAGCACTTTACCACAAACACCACAGGAATACTGCTTTTGGCTGAGATAGTAAGTGTGCCTTTTATTTTGACGTTAGATTGCAGTCAGAGAAGACAAAAATACAGTGCATGATGGGATCAATGACTATTTCTAAAGTTCATCTGATGATAGATCAAAATTTTTTCCTGTTTGGGACATCTTTAATGCTTTTACTTAGAACTGGGCTGCAATTTAGATGCAAGCTACATCAAGCAATGTGGGCACAAAAATACATTAAAATATGTTGTATTGAAAGATAAAGGTGAAGTTATCAGTGAAAAATGAATTCCAAAAATATATTTCAACTATAACCGCTCTGAACAAAGTCCTCCAAATCTAGAAGCAGTTTCTTTTTTTTCTTTTTTCAATAAAATAGGCAGTTAACCAAAAACACAAAGCAAATCAAGTGTCCCTCCTTTCTTTCCCTCATTGTCTCTCTTCCTCTTCAAATCAGCTGGAGGAAAAGTCCTTGGAAGTTTTTCTCTAAATACAGCCTGGCTGGCTGCCGCTAACAGGATGGGCATTCCAGGGATGATGCAATCTGAGATGAAATGAAATCAAAAGCAGGATTTTTTTATTTTTATTTAATTAGTTTGATGCCAAACAAAAAAGGATCACTGTGATAAAACAAAAAAATGTTTATGATTTTTACTTTGAAAATAAAACTTACAGTCCGACAAGAAAGAAAGTCTTCTGGTTAAATGAAACATCCAGTTGGGAAAAGGGAAGGGTGGGGTTTGTTTTTGTAGGAAAAGTTATTTAGTCACTCAGCAGCTCCTTTTAAATGAACTGAGAGGGAGGGAGGAAATAGGCTGGCATTTAGATATGAATTAAGAATACAGAATATCTGTGTTGTGGTTTTCAGTGTTTCATTAGCCTCTCCTCTCTGCAGCTGAGCGGTATGTTGGTCTGGATCCTGGTTGGAGGCACAGATTACTTCCACCTGTCTGCTCTCAGCTGGGTCATGTTTGTGGCTATCCTGCTTTGGATTCTAACCATATGCCTGTTCATAATTTATCTCACCCGAGCCCACAGCAGAATACCACAGATCTCTTGGACTACAGTGGTAACCCCCATCCACCAACACACACAGTCTGGTTCAATACTTCAGCCCAAATCTGTTCCTCTGTGGCTTTTCATTTATGCCTTAGCGATTCTGTGTTTTTCTCTTTCAGTCCTTGTGTTTTAACTGCAGTGCTGCTGTTTTATACCTGGTGACAGCTGTGATAGAGGCTGTAACTGTGAACCAGGCCATCAGAGGGCGACACAACTACAACTGTTGGGCAGCATCAGCAGTAAGCACTTATAAGTCAACACAGACCTTTGGTTAAATTATTTAAAACAAGGCCAATTGTATTTTTATTTTTTGTTGTTGTTGGTTGATAATGATGGAGGCCATGTTTATCAAACCTTTACTATGTAATGCATCGTGAGCATTGGACCATAAATCCATGCTTGACCAGATTCACCACTTTTTGTAGTAATTAGAAATAGATTCCTATGAGTTCAAGAAAACAAGAACTTCCATTTTTACTTCACAGTTAGAGAAAAGTTTGTCAAGTCACTAATCCAGGGAATCAATGCTCCATCATGCATTGATTTTAAAGGTTTAGCATCCATTTTTAACTCCTACAGTAGGACTCTTAGTTTAAATATTCAGGGATTGCTCTCTGTCCCAAAGTTAAATCTATAAACTAAATAAAAACAAAGGCTTTGTTGTTGCGGTTCCCGGCTGCCAGGACCTTCCTGCCCCCTATCTAGTTCTGTAGACTCAGTGGACCTTTATATAAAACAGCTACAGAGTCATCTTTTAAATTGTGAATAATATTAGCAGCTTTGGCTGTGTTCCTATTTATCTTATGTTTTCATTTCTGTCTTAACTTGTTTTCCATCTCAATGTGATATATTTCCAACTCCACTACTTCCTGAACCTCACCCATTTCCTTTGCTTCCAGCCTTTCATCACTGGACAGACTAATTAATCCAGGTGTGTCTGGTTAATGTTGTCATGGTTACTGATCAGACACACCTGGATTAATCAGTCTGTTGAGTAATGAAAGACAGGAAACAAAGAAGATGGCTGAAGGTCAGGATGTAGTACAGTTGGGCAAATAACCCTTTTTTTACTAAAAAGTTTGCTTGAAAACACAATTTTTATATTTGTAAAAAGTGCTATATAAATAAAGTAAGTTATAACTATTACACACATTAAGTGTATAGCTAAAATAACTTTTTTGTTTTGCTGTTGCCTCATCATGAGCAGAAAGTTTCAACCATATTAAAAGCCTGGTCTACCAGTGTACAGTAGAGCTCTTCAAAAAGACATGTTGGCTGTAGGAAAGTTCACAGAAACTCAGGTTACAGAACAAAGTAGTAGGAAGTTAGAGGATCTCATTATTATCATCAGATAGAGTGGGGAAAAAAAATAAGGAAGAACTTTAGTGAAAGAGCAGAAAAAGTATACATTCTATTGATGGTTTTTATTCAGATTGTGAACAGATGTTTTTATGTGAATATGTTTTTACCAGGAAAAAAACTGATCAAACTAATCTCTTTTCTCTCTCTCTCCTCCACCTCATCCCCTCTTGTTCTTTTCAACCCTTCCTTCTTTCCCCACTCTCAGTTCTTTGCGTTTTTGGCCACTTTGTGCTATGCAGGAAGTAGCTATCTGAGCTACTGCGTGTGGAAAACAAAAGAAGAAGAACAGTAGAGCTTCTCCTGACCCCCAGATTTCCATGTGCGTCAACAGAAGCCTAAAGAGAAGCAGAACGCAGGTTCTCTATCAACCAGCACAGCTGACACCACAGTTGAAGAGGTTCACTGATAAACTAAATCAATATGAAAAAAAACCCAACAACATTTATGGAAGAAAACCTTATTTTTTTGTGACTTCACAAAATGATGAAATCAGAAATGATGTTTCCACTTGGCTCGTGTTAACCTCTCACCAAGTTACTTTTAACCTCACTTTTGTATTGTGGTAAACAACTGAATCTGGATAAGACTAACACAAAAACAACCACCATTTTAAAAACTGTTATTTCTAGCACATGTCCATACTTTTTAATAGTCCATATTTTACTTCTCAGAAATAGCATGAGGGCTGCATAATTTGTTAATAAGTTTAATTATGATCTCTATTTGTATACAAGCACAATTAGTGATCCAGATGTAGAAGTCGATTTTTGTTTTCACTTCTTTATTTAATAAATATAACCAAATGTACATTTAAGTGCTTTAATTTATTTATGCAACATAATAAAATATGACATACTATTAAAAACAAAAAAACATATTTCATTTTTTGTTGTCAGTACGACTCATTTATTAAGTAAAACTAATCAAAAAATAAAAGTAAAGCTATCAATTTTGCATATTTTAGCTGTGCTCACAATCAGAAGTTGCAATTCTCCAAACAGCTAAGAAGGCTGGCCCACGAAGGTGTGTGTTGTGCCCAAGGGGACACGATTATCACCAGGTAAAGGTAGATCAGGAAGTCCATGTTTGGATGGTATCTGAAAATGAAAGAAAGCTTGAATGAACCATAACATTAGGAAAATGCAAACACAAATGAAGCAAGTTCTTTTTAAATGCAAAACACAGGAGCTGCACTTGAAACAATAAGTCTGGTTCCTTTTGCTTCGACAAATAGTGAGGTTTAAAATCCCTTGCTCCTTTGGGATGGAGAGGCGTGCAGTTTTCACATAATCAAGTAGTCTAAAACAACTATATTTGAAATGAGATATACGGATAATAAATCTACGTTGAGGAGGATGTTTGGCAAAAGATGTGTTGTATTTCTTTGCGAATGCATCAAGAATTAACCTGATCAACATTTAGGCTGCTACTTAGACCAGCAGATAACAGGAAGGCTAAACATGTTGCTCTATTTTACCCTTTGACCTTTTGACTTATGTCTGTCATGGAACATTCTGGATTTGGAAAAGCTCCCAGGCTTCTGGAAATTTCAGAGTTCAGGCACAATCTTTCCTCTGTAGGATTTACACCCATCGCCGCTGACTCAACGAATTTCTCATGTGAAGACATTTTTTAAAATGTAAACTGTATATTCCATTTTTTTTTTTTTTTTTTTACAACGTGTTAATAAAACTATTTGTTTACAGCAGCTTAGCTTTTACATACAGAGTTTGACCCCCTCAATACGCTGATTAATGACCACTCAGCTCTATATTCCCTTAAGATATTATCCTGCTTGATCCGGTATTTCAGAATATCCTTTTGCCTTCCTGTGAAGCTGCTCCTTTATCTGCTAACGTTAAGAGCAGCACGAGTTCTTAAGGAGGATCATCATTTGGCCTAAGTGCCAGAATGCATGAAAAGCAATTGTGAAAATGCCACCCTTTGTTTGTCTTTTAACTTCAAACTATGGTTATTTTGCATAACCCAAACATAGTGCATATATGAGATAAAAGCACATAAAATCTGATAAATATGGCATGTATTTGTTTCCCTACTGAGTGATTTCCAAATGCATTTTTATACCTAAATTGTAAAAATTACCCCAATAATTGTATCAACTCCAATATAAAATGTGTAGCTTGCTTTACCCAAAAAGGGGGCATGGGAATTGTGCAAGTCTTAAATACTTGGTTGTGTTAAATCTATCTACTATTCATTCATGGGAAACTGGACCCAGACCTTTTTTTTCCCCAAAAGTTCTGATGGTGTTTTTTAAAACACATATGAAAAAATGACAGAAAAAACAAAAACACAGCTCAGACTAAGGGTTTATGTTGAATTTTTTGTTAAAGATGAACTCTCCTTTTTTATGTAAATATGGGATTAAACTACATAGAACTATGGAAAATATTATCAATGAAGCGGCAGGATGATGCATATTTTTTAATAAATACATAAATGAATAGGAATCTGGTCCCATAAGTGCAGACACCCTTTAACTAATAATTTGCTCAAGCTCTCTGCCAAAAACGAACTTCTTGAGATGATGATATTTACCAACTTTACCAACTGCTTTGAGAGATTGAACAAAAATCAAAACAATTTTAGGGGTTTCATTTATTCAACACTGCATTTAAGTGACCCCACTGACTTTCAGTCCGATTTACTTCAGGATGTTGCTTGGAAATTTAGAAACTTTTTCCTGCCCTAATGGACTCAGATTTGTTAAAATGTTTCATGAATGCTCAGACTCACTATGATGTGTAGAAATAATCTCATTATTTTTGGTAAAAACAGGCTGGTATGTGAGAAAGTTAATTTGTTTTTTTTTACTTTATCAGAATTTGGTTTTATCTCAGGAACGGTGACTCAAGAGCATGATACTGCCACTACCAGGTGCCTTAGCTCAGTATAATTAAGGTTTATGCACAATTATCTAACCCTTGATTTTCATTTCATTATGTTGTCAATTTACATGAGTGAAAAATGCAGTTTTAACAGGAGCATATAGGCAAAAAATTCCCAAGAAACATCTAAATAAATAGATAAGATTTGTGAGTTAATGTGTGAATTTAATATAAAGATAATTTGTAAGGCGATTAGTCTAAAGTTTTTGATGATGTTTAAACTGTGCAGGTCACTAAGCAGGTCTTTTTTCCTGTATTACTATTGTTTTCCTCCCAAAGCCCAGCCATGTGAGGGTATTTCTTTCAACTGTGAATTGACCTTTTTTTTTGACTGACAGAACAGCAACACGTGAACCCCAACTGGAACCTGATGAAAACTTGGACTATGATACTGACTGACTGACATAAGCATTTTTATAAAATCTTAGCTCAAAGAGCCAATCTGCAATGTATGGTGAATTATAACGTCTCACAGGAAGATGTCAGTGTTGAGTTGAAGCCGGTCTTCTGTTTAGCTTTACCTCTGGAGACCAGTTGGTTGTTAGTCTATACTGATGCAGATTGATTTACAGAGCGCATTTGTGCAAAGCATAAATGTTAAGATCTTTATCATCAATAGAAAATAACATGGACAACAAATATAAGAGATAATCTCAGTAAATAATTAGTTTTGAAATAAAAACACCTTTGTAAAAAAAAATGCTGTGTGAGGTGAACTGTTTGAAAGTAGTTTCAGTTTGTCTGAAATCCATGGTCTGTCCATACATTCATTCATATTCACATCTCCAGGATTGAGTTTCATGAGCTAACAGATCCATCGGAAAAACCCCCCAAGTGGCTTTCCAGCTCCCTCTGGGCCATTCCCAGGTTGTTTCAGCAATCTCTGGGTCTGCCCCAGTGGGAGATATATTAAAACTTTCAAAGTTATGCATCCAGAAGGCAGGCATCCTCCTCTGATACCCAAACTACCTCCCTCACTGGCAATGAAGCTTTCTACGTTTGTGTTTATTGCTCAGCTAGTCCACCTTAGGGAGGAAGCTAATTTTTCATGCAAAATCTTGTTCTTTTAATCTTCTTTGAAGAAGAGGTCATCATATAGACAGGATAGTAAACTGACAGCTTTGATCTCCTGGTGCACTATCACTCATGAATAAGACACAGACATGATTGAACACTCCCCATCTAGAGAGCGCTCTACCTTTTTTCAGGTTGAGATCCATTGCCTTAAAGGGAACACACTCCTTTCAGTCATTTACATTAAACTCCAGTGACATAAGCATGGAATAATTGTTCTTATATGTGCATTTGCTCAAAGGGATTTTATTTCATTATTTTGGGGGCAATAAAGGAAATAAAATAAATTAATAAAATGACAACTCTTCTTTCTGTTGTTTGAGATATAGAAAAAAATTGCAATGTAGGTTTTTATCTTTGTCTAATGTAAAGATTTGTGAAGTTACTTCCTCTATGAGTCTATGAAATGTCTTCCTTAGAGCCTGGATTAACAAATTAAGATTAAAATGTTTAATTTTACTTTCACTTTGCTGATTTTAAGAATTATAATAAAGAAGTCCCCTCCTTGTTGTAAAGATTTCTCTGAAAAATCTGAACAGCCTCATGTTTCTATGACAATATCAAATGCATCACTGTCATTGATCTATTGCATTTTGGACCTTATCTCGTTAGATATGCATAAAGAGAACAAGAAGAAGGTGCCCTCCAGACATCGTGTTCTGTTCACTGTTTAAACAAAACAGGCCATTTCTACTTAATCACCAAGGGGGAGAAGCTGTCCTCAGTTTTTCCTCCTGTTTACTGACGTAATAATGAGATACAGCACCTGCACCCCAAAAATATTTTTGGAAATCCACAACAGTTTACGATTGGTTCTAACTTAGCTCCATGTGCTAATTGCTGTCCATTTAGAATTAAAATATACTGCAAAACATAAAAGCTAGCTGAAAGAAAACTTTCCAAACCCCACCTGTTTTCTTTCATCACATTTATAATATAGACTCTCTGAAAAAGCTCATTTACCCCTCAATCATATAGACATAAAATATTTAAACTAAATATGGTGGGAATATTTTATTTAATGCAATGAAAGAGAGATTTTTTTATTTATTTATGTTAAAGTTTGTGTGAAAGCTTTAGAAACATATTAAGACAGTTCTTAACAGAGAGTAATGTGATTATGTACGTATAACATTGTATATTAAAAGTGTGACAAGTTGAATAAAATCGTCATGCATAAATTTATTTCTGAAACCTTAATTGGTGGTTTTACTGTGTTCATATTTCCCTGCACGCCTTAACAGAAAACCCAGAAATTGAATTAACTAAATGCAAGGGTAGGTTCTTCTACATCTGCTGAAGAATATCCATAGCAGAACCTTCTAAACTATAATAATAATAATAATGAATTTTATTTATCATGCACTTTACATTTGATTTCAAATCTCAAAGTGCTACAAAACAAGTTTAAAAGACCATAACATTAAAAACAGAGTAAAAAGACAGTCATTAAAATCAATACATTAAAAGGCATACGTAGCCTATAAAAAAAAAATCTAAAATCAACAATTGTAGGAATTTCTAAAAAGGAAAGTTTTTAGTCCTTTCTTAAAACAATCCACCGTCTGTGGGGCCCTAAGGTGGTCTGGGAGGGCATTCCACAGACGGGGAGCTGCAGCTTCGAAGGCCCTGTCGCCCATTGTTTTTAGCCGTGTCCTGGGTGGGGCCAGACGGTGCTGTTGGCCTGACCGGGTCCGGGAAGAGGTGTGTGGTGTGAGCAGTTCAGTGAGATACATGGGGGCCGCACCGTGCACACAGTGATGGGTGTGCAGAAGAATCTTGTACTCTATACGGGCGTGAATGGGCAGCCAGTGTAAAGTGTGA